GTTCCCATTAATAACAATACTGTTAGCTACGTTTACAACAAACAAGCATATAACGAACTGATGGGTCTAAAGATGAGTGTTGTTTGTTCTGAATACTTGCTGTATATTTCAGTCCAAATTCGTATTATGAACTACGGTTATAATGAATTAAAATTAGCCGTCCATTTGAAGTTCGTTGTAACTGTAGTGTGTGTAACGATAATAATGATGATGATGATGATGATGATGATGATGGTGGTGGTGGTGGTGATGATGAAGATGATGATGATGATGGTGATGGTGGTGATGATGATGATGATGATGATGATGATAATGGTGATGATGATGATGATGGTGGTGGTGGTGGTGGTGATGATGATGATGATGATGATGATGGTGATGATGATGATGATGATGGTGGTGGTGATGGTGATGATGATGATGATGATGATGATGATGATGATGATGATGATGATGATGATGATGATGATGATAATGATGATGATGGTGGCGGTGATGGTGATGATGATGATGATGATGGTGGTGGTGATAGTGGTGATGATGATGATGATGATGGTGGTGGTGATATGGTGGATGATGATGATGATGATGGTGATGGTGATGATGATGATGATGATGATGATGATGATGATGATGATGATGATGATGATGATGATGATGATGATGGTGGTGGTGGTGGTGGTGGTGGTGGTGGTGATGATGATGGTGGTGATGGTGGTGATGATGATGATGATGATGATGATGATGATGATGATGATGATGATGATGATGATGATGATGGTGGTGGTGGTGGTGGTGATGATGATGATGATGATGATGATGATGGTGATGATGATGATGATGATGATGATGATGATGATGATGCTGCTGATGGTGGTGGTGGTGCTGATGATGGTGGTGATGTTGATGATGGTGGTGGTGGTGGTGGTGCTGATGATGGTGGTGATGCTGATGATGGTGGTGGTGGTGGTGGTGGTGGTTGCGGTGGTGGTGATGATGATGTTGGTGGTGATGCTGATGGTATCTCTCATTTTGCATTTACAGGATCATGATGGTGGTGGTGATGATGATGATGATGATCCACTGGTAAAGCGCATAACTCAACACGTTCTTAGCGCACATAAAAATATTCAGCTAAGTCAATAATAGTGCGGTTGAAAAGTTATTATTTTTCGGTTCTTGTATACTAACCATAAAAAATTAGACTCACTTAAAGCACTCACTATAAGTTATGCATATATATATATATATATATATTTATTTATTTATATATATGGTTACATCGAAGATGAATTTCTCCACGAACTTGGAGGAACGAACTGCAAACCTTATGCAGATAAATTGCACGAGGATCATGCATCAAATTGCTGAAGAAACATGCGCAAATATCGTGCATGTGAATAGCTTTTAGTGTAAAGTTTTGTTAAGAATTCGCCAATTTCACGTAGTTTCATCATTTGTTGAACTCATGACAACAATCATTTTAACATTACGCATTTGTTTTACAATACATCAATCATGTGTAAACAGCACCTTTAAACAGTATGAAATATTTGCCAAAATCTAGTTAAGAACAGTTGCCTGAAGTTAGTGGCTACATTTACACCAGTGAGTCTGGACTTTTGATAGATCTACTGCTGAAGAAACAAATACATCACTAAATTCCCCATACATTTAGTATTATATTATAAATGGACTGTTTCACCAATGCCATGTATCCAGATGAAATCAAACGAAACATTGAGTGTGAAAACGAACACCGTGCTCGTAAGACACATTTTCAGACATCCCTTTGTCGGTTCGTTGCATGCATTGGCTCAGTGCTTTTAAATATGAATGAAAGGAGTATTCTAGCGAGGGACAGGAAATGTAAAATAGATACAATACAGTAAATTGAAATATTCAGATATTGTCAAAGTTTCTGAGCAACGTGACGCCACTGACAGACACAAAACCACGCAGACACTGAAACCCAATCAGCATGTCCATTTGCATATTTAAAAAAATAGTTCCCCTGAAGTTCAAAGATTACCTATTCAATTCGTAACATGTAATTTTGGGATAACAAAAGAAAAATATTTTCAAGCTAAGTTGTTTTTATTTGAGTTACGATCTGTGCAATATCAGTGTCTGGCAACTCGTCAAGTCAGCTTGGAAATATGTTGCCAATCTCTCTGACCTCTGAAAAAAATGCTCATTATCTATAGAAATAGATCACAAACAAATTGCCATGCCTCAGTGATTTTACTTCAATAAATGCCGAAGAAGCACTAGGATGAGAGAGGTAGACAGCACAATATGAATACCTCACTCGAAGATGAACAGGAAACGTCAACAACTTGATCATTCGAACTCCAAGGTTTAAAACAAATAACGTCTCAATACTTAAAGACTTTTCGAATTTGTTCCTTTTTTGGATAAAAAAAGACACTGTGGTAAAGCAATCTCTCATGTAAGTCAATACTGTTACACAGAAATGTAACGGATATTTCGTAAATACCAACATAATATGCTCTACCTATTTGTGACATGAGATGAATGGTGAGTACCGTGACTAAAACACTTTTATTAATTTATAGTTAGGAAGCAGACAACATAATTCACTTATGGATAGAAGCTGTTTTTTATTGAAATTGTCTCTTAATTTACATAAAAATACCTACGCACGAGGGAAAGACCAAGTATTCTATTAAGTAACCCATCAATACACTGTGTCAGATCATGATTCACTTAACAGTCTAACACACAAATGAGGGATACATATAACAAATAGAACTATGATAGAAATGCTCCTAGTTTGTGAGCTCCACAACTGAATGTGTTACATAACGTACATTTTAAATCAAGCTGTTTTCCCCTGCTACTATGTTTTCGCCAGGTAAATATTACAATAGTCGCACTGACGGGACAACAAAGGCTTTAAACCAACAGGCAATTGTAACTTCCAACTTTAAATCGATAAAGCAATGCGAACTAACATGGCCTTTTACCAAATACACTAGGTTTTCAGGTGGTAACGGACATTTCACTTGTGATTTTCAAACGTCTCTTCAACAGGTTAAGGCATCCATGACTCAGTGTGAACATACAATGTGACTTGCCACATAGTGCTGACTCATGAATATCAAAACCTCAGTGCAGCTGCACCAGATGACATATGGGCGTGACGTCCATTGCAGAAACATAACAAAGACGTTGACGGTGTCATCGCTGCTGTCGATATTAAAAACCTTCCCGATGTACCATCTCAGTTCACGCACAGCGGACACGAATTCTCCAATAGAAAACGGCATCTGCCCGCTGTTCTCGGTCACTGAGGAAACATCTTCATCCTGTGTCAAGCGTCGGTCAGCATTCCCACTCTGCTCTACATTGTCCTGAGGCGTGGCTTTAGGATCAGCACGGGGCTTGTTTAGCAAACGCGAGGGACTCTGTTTTCTCCAGCACGCTATTCATTCAAATATTCACGGCAGTAACAGCTAACCTCTCTGACGGCTACAACTGAATTCCCCAGACAAACTACAGCGTGAACCTTCATGGCTCCTTCAACTTTACTCAGATTTAAAATCTTAACAGCATTCATGGTTTTCTGGCAATCTTCTTTAGGAACCAAATGACCTTCACAGATCAGTCCACCTAAAGAAATCCTTTGCATCTTGTATCACACATTTTGTCATTCCTCAGTGACTCATCTGCTTTGCGCCCTGAGACCTCGCCAAGGCCGTCATGGTCAAGTTTTACCATGACCAGCTTCAAAATAGTTTCATCTGGCCTTCAATCCAAATTCAGACTGTTTTTTCGTCACCAGGTTGAAGATCAGCTTGTTTTGGTATTGGCTTTGGCTGGTTGGACTATCTGTCCAGTAGTGGTTCATCTCTACATCCTCATCCAATGATCTGATCTGTGGCATGACTTTCTTCAGAATGGTCAACACTGTGGAGGCTGTGTGTAATGGCTCATCCGAATCATTCCTGTAGTACACCACGACTGGATGCAATGTTTCAATTAGACTCATTGGCTATCAAACCTTATTTTTAACAATATACACACTAGAGATATGTTATATAACATATCAAGCACACTATAATTAATATAACGAAGGAAAGATAAATCTGTCTTTCCCTGTCACGAGTTGGTTATTGTTCTTGTTACCCATATATCAGTTTTCGATCTAAAAACCCCGCTAAAATGAAAACAGCAGTTTACGTAATTAATATAACTCGTGAAAGATAACCTGTCATTCCCCGTCACTCGTTAGTTATTGTCTTAATATCGTTCACATATCGGTCAGTATTTTGTTCGCTCAACTTTTCCATAAAGACCCAATAAAATTAAAAACAGCGTCGCACACTGCTTTTATCGGTTCACGATAAAAAGCAGAGAAATCTACTGTTTTTAATATATAACAAAAATTAGCAAACCGCCCAAGAATTGTACTTGAGTTTACACCATCGGATAGGAAATATAATATTCTACATTTCTGTCCAATTTCATAGTTACAGGTAGATCCAATGCCTATGGCCTGAATCCATCCACACACCCTCTTCAGGAGGGAGCCCTGAAATGAATGTCCTTTTTCGGGATTCATTAACAAGGCATTTAGAAGTTGGTGAATATGTAAGACGAGTATATGGATGACAACTTCTTCTTTATTGTATAACACCACGTTTCTGGGCCACTTCTTGCCCCTTCTTAAAGTGATTTTATAACGTGGTGTTATACAATAAATAAGAAGTTGCCATTCATATACGTGTCTTATAAACTTGAAAATATGTTTTGTCTTCATGATGCCTGGGTAAATTATACGATTAGATTACACGATTATTTTTGCATCTTTTTAAACGTTGACTTCAGCACTGTCGGGTGTCAAAATATGACGTATTTGTGTGTTACCATCTGTGTATTAACAAACGACAGATCTACGAGCTGTCTGTTAACAAGCAGGTTTCTGTGTACGATAAACAAGAAAGAGGCAAGGCATGGAAGAGTATTACGCTCACCTGTATATTGTTTCACATTCCTTCTCCTCGCTGTATCTCACGGGCAGGTGTATTACACTCCCCTCAGATGTCCCTGTGATTCATATCTTCGTTCAAGCTTGACATATAAATAGCTGAATCATATACCTTTCTATAGCTATTGAATTTGCACGAAAGCTCACGCAATGTATACACTTGTTCGTGTCAAGCGTATGTTATGTCTGCCGGAAATGGTTAATAAGGGTCAAGCTCGACCTCTTCGATGGACTCGTAAACACCAGAGTAGAGTAGCGTCCTGTAGTTTCGGTCGTTTATCGGAAGTTTCCCAATCTGTGTATTGTACGAGCGTATTCACACTCCTGCGCAGCGATGACACAGCTGCACGGAACTCTGGGTACGAAAGAAGTTTGCATTGTGCCGTGTATCGTTACGGTTTATGTCACTGGGTAACACTACAACATGTTTTGTAACGAACGATGTCATTGGTTTTTAGTTGAAGCGTATATGATGTATCTATTTTCAGAAAAGAAACCAGAGTTGAGTCCGGTGAATTCGGTTACATCTCATGTTGAATTCGGTCACTATTCCTGTAATTTCGGTCAGTTGCACCTTTTTGTAAAAATACTACAGCAGTTGTTTAATTAAACATACAAATCCTTGAGACAGTTAGAAGTTGAATGTACAGCATGTGCTCCACTTGTACTTTCACTTGAGAACTGACATGATGTTTTTTTCAAGTAAAAGGCAAATATTATGGATGACAACTTTTTTCTTTACTGCATGTCACAACGTTTCTGTGCTATTTCTTGCCCCTTCGTCAGGTAAATTGTGACGAAGGGGCAAGGAATAAACGACAGATCCAATGTGACATACACTAAAGAAGTTGTCATCCATAATATTTGCCTTTTACTTGAATACCAACTTCTAAATACCTCTCAAGAACCTGATTTTTTTCGTTCTTAATCATTGAATACATATATAGCTTTAACTGCAACTCTGACACACGCTTGGAGTCTGTACAACTATGGCAAGCAATTTTCAAGCAAATATCAATGGCAACAATTATATTTTGTTGGATCCATGGAGTCAAATAATGCAAACATACCTTTCACCCCAACTTCCAGAGAACACCAAAGACATATCCATGAAGAATCAATTCGCCACAGACCCAGTGAGTAAAACCAGCTGATTGGACAGCTTCAGAGGCTTTAACTTGCTGGTGCAGGTCACGTAGATGATGGTTTAAAAAGGACTTCTTTTAACAGAAGTCAGAACAACTGCCTTAAAACATACTTGTACTTCAAAATATATAGACCCGTAAAGTTCCGGGTTAGAATTGGTTTTCAGCAACCTATGCATGTCGTAAGAGGCGACTAACGGGATATGGTGGTCAGGCCGGCTGACTTGACTGATTTCAAAGATCGATTCTCCTGATGTCAATAAGTAGATGTATAGACCGGACAGTTATATTGCTGTAATATTACTAACGATAAACCAACAAACAGTGATATTTCCAAAGCCTGCAAGTTGAAGACTGGATTAGGCAGACAGATGCAACTGTTCTGATGGCAAGCCCAATATGTGTTGCTTATAGTCTTAAGCTCAAAGACCTGTCTGTCTATGAAGTGTCGGATTCAATATAGCTGGAATATTGCTGAAGGCGGCGTAAAACTAAACACACTCACTCACTATTATCCTATAAAAACCTAAAAAAGAATATTAGTTATATTTTTAAGGAATTCTTCTGGGGGATTTGGGAGTGTAAGGAAAGGAAGTTAAGTTTTTAAATGAGCATTAATTTCATTACTGCAATTTTGCCTAATGGTGTTATAATTCTGTTAAATTATCTCTTAATAGTTTGTTCGATTTCAAAGACTTTGTTTTCAAAGTTCAGTTTAATCATTTTATCACAATTACTAGAAAAATTATGCCTAAAAATTTAAAGGTTTCAGGGTTTCATTCAAGGTTTAAGCCAATTTTACGTTACTATATTTTGGGGGCCTATACATATGACTTATCATCTATATGTCAATCCAGAAATGTTTGCAAAAGTTTCAGGAGTGTCTATGGTATCTATATCGTCTTCATATTGTGCCCACCCGTGAAGGTCCGGGTTAGAATATTGATCTTCAGTAACCCATGCTTGTCGTAATAGGCGACTAACGGGATCGGGTGGACAGGCTCACTGACTTTGTTGACACATGTAAGATAAGATTAAGGATAAGATAAGATAAGATAAGATAAGATAAGATAAGATAAGATAAGATAAGATAAGATAAGATAAGATAAGATAAGATAAGATAAGATAAGATAAGATAAGATAAGATAAGATAAGATAAGATAAGATAAGATAATGCTTTATCATCCTGAAGGAAATTTGCTTTGCACGGTTAACATTGAAAACACATACAATACAAGAAAAGATACATGTACATAAAACCACATAAAACACCCATACATATTTCAAATAGTACTAAAACCGCTAGCAACAACGCCTAATATATTAGGTAAAGATAAAGGATGAATAAATAATAATATATTTAAGATTCAGAGCTACATAGTGGCGACATTAAAACTTTTGCTGAGGAACATTAGCATTAAAAGTACACTAATATAACAGTTTGAAACAATTGATAAAGTATTATAAAATGATAAACAAACATTAGAATAATTCATTTAAAACACTGATGCTTGCTGGGATGAATGAATTTCGAGCCCTGTTTGTTCTGAATATCGGCGTGCGCAGTCGTCGGCCAGAAGGAAGAAGTTGAAATTTAGGAAATGGGACATGAGTGCTGTCATTTAAATTTTTTACGTGCTTTCTTTTCAATTTGCTGCTTGTAAATAGTGCCAATATCTTGCATTATAAGTCCAGATATTTTACTTGCTGTGTTAACAATTTTGGGAAGTTTACATCGATTTTGAACAGACATACCCCCATACCAGCAATGCACATTGAAAACTAAAATGCTTTGAATAAAAGGCTTATAGAATAATGACAATATGGTTGTGTCAATCAGTAGTGCTGTTCCAGGTGAGCTTAGAATCTATCACTGTGCTAAGATACTTATATGCCTCAACACTATCTATGGTTTCGTTATCAATGGCAATTGGCAACAGCTCACTTTTACTTTTCCAAAAATCAATAACCATCTCTTTCGTTTTCTTAACATCTAATTTAAGGAAGTTGATGTTACACCAATCAAGAAATTTTGTGATTTCAGATCGATAATCATTCTCCGAGTGCCTTATAAATCCACCGAGTGCGGCGTCATCTGCAAACTTTACAGTTAAGCATTGCGAAAAACTACTGATATAGTCATTTGTATATAAAATAAATAAAACCGGAGAAAGAACACAGCCTTGCGGGGCACCAGTGGATACGAATGTTGTTGCTGATCGGGTGTTATTAACAGTTACAAACTGGGGTCTATTTACGAGAAAAAATTCTATCCATTTTATAACTCATGGGTTGACTGACATATTACAGAGCTTTTGCATTAAAATATGAGGCTGGATGGTATTAAAAGGTGAAGAAAAGTCAGCAAACAGAATTCGTACAAAGGAATGGGAAAGTTCTAAATGTTTGTAAATATTGTTTAACAAAGTGATGGTAGCGTCCTCGACACCTCGCCCAGCACTGTAGGCAAACTGAAGAGGGTCGAGAAGGTGCTCTGTTTCTTGCAGGAGCAGGACGCTTTACAATTCTTTCCAAACATTTCATATGTATAGGCGTCGAAGCAACTGGACGGAAGTCATTATCAACGGTGGGCGTGGGGATTTGGGGTACTGGAATAATATTTGAAGTTTTCCAAATGCTTGGGATAGAATGATTGTTGATAGAAATTTGAAAAATTTAATTAAAAATGTGGGAAAATTGTTCACGACATTCTTTTAAAACTTTACCACACAGATTATCCAGACCAGTTGCTTTGTGAACATTGATTTTAGAAAATGAATTGAGAACATCAAAGGGAGTTAACTCAATCACACGGTCATCAGATAATATATTTCGAACATTGTCTCTTCCATCACTGAAGTCAACTGTATCAAATCGAGAGTAAAAAGTGTTTAAATTGTTAGCAAACTGTTGAGAGTCCGAGACGTTTATATCAGCAGTCTTCTTATTTGTCCCCAGTACACATTTAACACCATTCCAAGCCCAACGAAGATCCGATTTAAAGACTTGTTAAATTTAAGACTTGTATTGCCTTTTACATGAATCTATTGCACGTGATATTTCCTTCTGAACAACTTTTACTTTCGTCATGTCACCAGTAGAAAACGCCCTTTTCTTTTCCCAATTGCACAGATCGGTGCTCATGCTGTTGATCACTGGATTGTCTGATCCAGACTCGGTTATTTACAGACCGCCGCCATATATAGCTGGAATATTGCTGAGTGCGGCGTAAAACTAAACTCACTCACTCACTCTCCATTTTCGACATAGCCTCAATCAAAAGTGTTAAGTCTCTGTTGGCCCCACTTAGCCCGGGCTGTCAAAAGCAACTTAAACCTCGCACATGTATCATGAAATGTGTCCAGATTCATAGATTAGCATTATATCTACCTACATGTCACTGTATAAAGTTCAAAAGCGTAGTATTTGAAGCACACACGTTGCTCAAAGTGAGTTGCTATACAGAGTTGCTATATCACAAGCGTTCGGTCTGGCTTAGCCCGGGCTCTCAAAAGCACCTCACCTCAACCCACACCTCACATATGTATCTGAATTTTGATTAAATCCATAGATGAGTATCATGTCTACCTAAACGCCACATTGTGATGTTACATAATGCCACATGTAAAGATAACGGGTTACAACTGAAACAACATAACACAGTATTAATATTAATGTCTTGTTGTTGTTGCCATTTATTCAAAAGAAGAGCAGGTACCAATTTTAATGCAAAGTAAACGGTATATGAAGGTTCTGCATTAAACCGGAGCCAATGAAATTAATGTACGTATTGAATAAATGCAAACGTATTTAACAATAACTCCTTTCTGAATAACATGCCACCAAAAGAGCACAGCTAATATCTGAAGCAGGGTGTTTCTGTCCTGCTGGTCTCAGATGAAGCCCATCATATGCAATGTAGTCCTGCCTTACTCTCCAAGAATACATGAAATGAGGATGGTCTACATAGGTCATTCCATTCGCTGCGCAGAGGTGTTTCAGTTTCTGGTTCAGTGTGTAGGCCTTCTTGTTCAGGGCATCATGGTTTGCACGGCCTTGTTGCCATCTATTTCGGTACCCTTGGGTGACACCAGAAAGAAGGACAACAACACTGTGCAAACATAGTATATAAAACATTAAGTGCACCCATTCCCGATCAGTTCTTTTGCCCAACCGCTGAAAACTGAAAATAGAATTAACTCAAAAATAATATATCGTCTAACAATGCTTTGGA